ACAGAAGGGGAAGAAGGAGAGAAAGGTGCTTAAAAGATCAAGAAGGAAACAAACCTGGTCCTACATCACTTCTCTGCAGAGTTCACACTATACAGAATAATAATTACTACAGGGTAAGTAGTAAAAAATGCTTCTCTGTGTTTCTAATTTCCAGGCAGTAGAGTAGAAAGAAAGGAAATGATTTTTTAAGGGTGAAGAATTAATGATTAAACCAAAAATGGGAGTTTTAACTCCAGACTGATAAAATATCCTTCTTCTTTTTTTTCTTTTTAAGACAGGTCTCACTGTGTTGTTGCCTGGGCTAGAGTGCCCATGGGTCATCATAAGCTCACTGCAACCTCAAACTCCTGGGCTCAGCATCCTCCCACCTCAGCATCCCTAAGTGTTAGGATTACAGGCATGAACCACCACACCCAGCCTAACATTTCCTTTTAACCAGATTCTTTCAAGTTCCTTCAAAGTAGAATTGTATCTATAATTCTCTTTGGAATCTCCCTTCCCAACAATGGTATGATTAAAGATATCGTATAGAGATAGAGAATGAAAAAAAGCAGGGAGGGAGATCCTGGAACGGTCAAGGGACTTCTGTGTAAATATGATAATATAAGAACCAAGGAGAGGTCTTTACAGCACCAAAGCTGTAGAGCACAGATACATACAGGCAAGCTTGTAAGGCCCTCAGGTTGGAGAAGGGAAAGAGACTCACCGTCATTCGGAGTGCCACATGGGGACAGAAAATAAGCCAACTGCCGCACTGGCCATATTTGAGTGTTGAAAAAGATAGTCATGGCGACAAGGACATCATAGCTGTGAGCCTGGCAGAAAGCATGGAGATCTGCAAGGAGTCGGACCTCTGCAGAAAGGCCTGAAAGGAAAGAAATGGAAAGCAAGGAGGGCTATGCTGGACCCTCCTCGTCATCACCAACAACATACTTATCAAGGCTTCTTTGCATGTTAACTGGGGACTTTGCGCCATAAAAAGGTATTGAGTATTTACTCTCTGTTATCTGTGTGTTGGGAGGCAGTGTGGTAGAATGAGGAGAATATAGCTTTGGATTAAGCAGAATTGATTGAAAATCAGCTCTATTACTTCTTAGCTATATAATCAAAGAGTTATATTACCTCCCTGGGACCTGAGTTTCCTTGTCTGTAAAATAAAGATACAACGCTTACCAAATGTAGTTGTTTTAAGAATGAAAACATGATAATGTATATAATGTGCCCAGTATGTTCAAGGCTCTCCTGCTTTTGCAATCAAACAAGGTCTTTGCCTTGAGGGGATTTGTTTTCTAAAACAGGATGGATAACAGGACATACAAATAAGAGTGGACATGTAACAAGTGCATCCCTGGCCTTTCCTTCTTTGCCAATCTATTTTCTTCTCCAAAATCTCATGCAGCATTTCCTCCAATAAATAATATCACCGCTTATTTCAGATCAGGGCTCTTCTCTATTCTTGGCATTTCTTTCTTCTTTCCCACACTTCTCTCTCTTTCTTTTTTTTTTTTGAGACAGAGTCTCACTCTTATTGCCCTGGCTAGAGTGCCATGGTGGCAGCCTAGCTCACAGAAACCTCAAATTCCTGGGCTCAAGCGATCCTCCTGCCTCAGTAGCTGGGACTATAGGCATGCACCACCATGCCTGGCTAATTTTTCTATATATTTTTTAGTTGGCCAATTAATTTCTTTCTATTTATAGTAGAGACGGGGTCTCGCTCTTGCTCAGGCTGGTTTCAAACTCCTGACCTCGAGCAATCCGCCCGCCTCAGCCTCCCACATTGCTAGGATTACAGGTGTGAGCCACCGCGCCTGGCCAAGACCCTGTCTCTTTTTTTATTTTTATTTTTATTTTTTGAGACAGAGTCTTGCTTTGTTGCCCAGGCTAGGGTGAGTGCCATGGCATCAACCTAGCTCACAGCAACCTCAAACTCCTGGGCTCAAGCAATCCTGCTGCCTCAGCCTCCCAAGTAGCTGGGACCACAGGCATATGCCACCATGCCCGGCTAATTTTTTCTATATATATTAGTTGGCCAATTAATTTATTTCTATTTATAGTAGAGACGGGGTCTCACTGTTGCTCAGGCTGGTTTTGAACTCCTGACCTCAAGCAATCCGCCCACCTCAGCCTCCCAGAGTGCTAGGATTACAGGCATGAGCCACCTCGCCCAGCCTGATTCTTGGCATTTCTAATGTGTTTATCTGTAGTATGGTTATAGTACTTGGCAAGCCTTTTATATTTCCATGTTTGTTTCCCAAACTAGGTTATGTACTATAAGGGAAGAGACCATGCTATTTTGTTTTACTTGATTATTTAATTATTTAAGTATGTGTTCAAAGCAGGTGAATAATTTAAACTACTATGACATGGAACCAGGTATTAAAAAACCACCATTAAGGTTATATTCATTCACCCATTCAACAAAATTTACTGAGCATCCACTATGTGTCAGGCAGTGTCAAAGGTGCTAGAGATATAGCTGACACAAAAGAAACAAGGTCTCTGTTCTGGTGAAGTTGATAAACTAGTATAGGAATATAGACAATAAACAAGGAAACTATGAAACAAGATTGTTTCAGTCTGTTAAGTGCTATTTAAAAAAAAAAAAAAAAGATAACTTCCAGAGGTTTCTTGAGCACAAGGGATATTACTTCAGTTAGGGTGGTCAGGAAAAACCTCCTGAAGTAGGAGACATCTGTGCTAAAACCCGAATGATAAGAAAGAGCCAGTCTGCAAAGAAAAAAGCAAGTTCAAAGACCCTGAGCTGGGAATAAGCTTAATGGTGTGAGGAACAGAAAGAAAACCAGTGTGCCTACAGTATTGTGAGCGCAGGAGTGGGGCTGGAATGAGATGAGGCCAGAGAAAAAGATAAGGCCAGATCAAGTAGGGCCCTGTAAACCATGGTAAAGCCTTTAGATTTTATCAGAAGTACAATGAAAGGGCAATAAAGGGAAGGGTGATCTGATATGATTTGATTTATGTCTTAGAAAGATACTCTGGCTGCTATGGGGAGAATGGTTTGTCGAAGTGCAAAAGTGGAGGCAGGGAAAACAATACAGAGGCTTTTACATGGTACAATGAAAGATGATGGACTGTGGCAGTCACAGTGGAGATGGAGATGAGAAGATAGGTACAAGAAATATTTTGGAGGAGGGAGTGAGAGAATGGGTGGGTAAGTGAGTGAGAAAAAAGAAAAGAAAAAAAAAAAGATATATTTTAGAGGTAAGCCAGGAATGAGGAGCAAGATTACAAGCATAACTAAAGATTTTTTCTCCCCACCCACACCAACATCTTGCTCTTACCTCCAAATCCATATATATTGCGCTAATGGCCACCTTGATGCCTTGTCTATAGATGGTCTTCTGGTCCTTTCTCAGCATCTGCTCAGTGGTCAGTCCTAGAAAGTGGATGTAAGACTAGGGGTCAAACAGGGGAGCCCAGACTCCCAAGACCAGGAAGGCGAGGACACCAAGATGAGTCAAGGAAGAGGAAAAACAGCCTCTCTCTGGGGCAATGAACAAAGAGATAACCAAAAATGCAAAAACTACCTTTAAATAAATGGGTGACAATAGTTACCTTTAGAGTTATGGAATTTGAAGAGAAGGACCAAAGCAAGAAAAAAGGCTGTTACTTTTGATTTTTCCCCTTTCTGTATTGTTTCCATTTTCCTTTTTTTTTTGAGACAGTCTCGCTTTGTTCCCCGGGCTAGAATACAGTGGCATCATCATAGCTCACTGCAACCTCAAACTCCTGGGCTCAAGTAATCCTCCTGCCTCAGCCTCACAAGTAGCTAGGACTATAGGTGTGTGATACCATGCCCAGCTAATTTTTTATTTTTTGTACAGATGGGGTCTTGCCATGTTGTTCAGGCTAGACTCAAACTCCTGGCCTGAAGCAATCCTCCCATCTCGGCCTCCCAAAATGCTAGGATTACAGGCATGAGCCACCAAGCCTAGCTTGTTTAAATTTTTTAAAAGTATATGTGGTACCTTCCTTTTTATGTCAACAGGGGGTAACTGGGTAGATTATGGAAGATTTTTGTCCTCTTCCTTTGTCTTTTGCATACTCACACTAAACATTTCTTCATTTCCCTAACCTATTACATAGAGCTCACTTTGATAATTTAGTATACCCTCAGCATATTTTATTTATATGTCTTATATTCTCTGATTAGACTGGAACCTCGGAGACTCTTAATATATTCCTCTTCATCCTACCCAACAGCCAGGATAGAATAATCCTGTAAATTAGTTCATGATCAGACTCATGCTACCTCATTTCTCTCTGGTGTAAAGCTTAAATCTTTATGTATGCTCTTAAAGTATTTTAATGTTATTTAAGAATATAATGAACAAGGCTTGTCCACATATTTTCTCATGTGCGAAGTAGAGAAGTCAGCTTAATACTTCATACCTGATACATCAAACTTTGCCTTTTGTAGGGAATCAAAGATGTCATTTCTCTTGGGCAGATCTGGGAAGAGGGCCTCTAGTTTTTCCACATATTTGCTGTCCTTTAGGGTTGCCTTTCCAATTTTAAGGTCCATGTTGACACAGTCCAAGATGATGGTTCCTGTGGAGAAGGGAGATGGCGGAACTCCCCAATCCTATGACCCTCCATTCACGACCACTAGAACACACATAACCTTCAAACCAAATGGACACAATACAGGAGACTTGTATGGCAAACCCACTAAAAACAAAACGAGAAACTGGGACTGTGTTCTGAATAAGACCTCCTAAATCCAAACTAAAATGTAGGCAGGGAAATGGGGAAAAGGTAGAAAGAGAGCCTGAGATCTTAATGCTTGGAGATTTTGGTATGTTTAGAGAGATGGTATCTCTTCTGTAGGCCAAAGTCCATCAAAGAATCTTGTAAGTCAGAAGAGTCAATCTAGTCCAACTCTCTCTCTCTCTTTTTTTTTTTACAAATAGAAAAAATGAGAATAAGAAAGGTTAAGAGATTTGCTTAAGGTCATATAATTATTTCTTGGAGGCACTAGTATTAAAATCCATTTCTTGCTGCTTTAGCTAGTCCTTCCATTATACAGTGACACTAATGGGAAGCTTCTGGGTCTGTTGCCCTGTGCTTCCTTTCTGTTTTCTCCAACAAAGTATCCCATAGGCCTTTAAACAAAAGTCTGATTGTCCCCCAGAAGAATACCATCCTTTGGTATGAACTGAATGGCTTTGAGAGCATATGGTTAGGCTGGAGGAGTCTAGACTTTTTCATTCTCCCTTCTCTCGGATGGGAATAGAAGTAGTCCAGTCTCAACCCCAAAGCTACGCTCACCATGCAGAAGGGCTGCAGTTTGCCTGTCCAAGATCTCTGGTGCCCCCTGCAGGATTCTCTCAGTCACCAGGGTAGCGCAGGACCCCACCAGTTCAACTGAAACATGACAGGGAGGACAGTGTTTCTGCTCAATGGGTCGATGGTCTAGCACCTCTGCTACTGCCTCCTCTAGGGCTGCATCACTTCTGCAGAAGGGGAAGGGCAGGGGAAAAGAGAAAGAAAGATAAGTAGGGGCACTTCAGCTGCTTCTAACCAATCTTCACCCCACCCATAAAGGAAAATGCAAACACTTAGACCTTCGATCACTTCTACCTCTGCCTCACTCTTCTCAATTCTTTAATGTTATAACTGAAGTCATCTTTAAATAGCATGTAAGTGAATATTGTGAAGCATCTCCTGCAAATATCTTATTCACACATTTGTTGTCCTTTAGGGTTGCTTTTCCAATTGATACCCTTGATACTCAACAACTAAATCTCTGTTTCTTCAATCCACTCAATACTCAAATTCCAGGCAGGTCACCAGGTCCTGTGGCTTCTATCCCAATTCCTATTCATGCCCTTGCTTTCAACCCTCTGTTAGTTACTACCTTGTTCTAGGGCTAGGCCCTCAATACTCTCATCTGAACTATTCTAGTAGTCTCTTAACCAAGAACTCTCCTAAGCCCTCTTCACAAAGCTGCCTGAATGATCATTTGAAAAAAGCAAATTTGATTCTGTTAGGGCCTGGAATATAATTACAATAGTTCCCCATTGCCTAAAATAAAGTCCAATCACTTTAGAAAGGCCTACAATCCTCTATGATCTACCTCCTGCCTACCTCTCTAGTCTTTTTTCCATGCCCTACTTCTCCTTCATATTTTATGCTCCAGCTGTGCAAAACAAATTCCAGTTGCCCTAGCTCACCATTCTATTTCATGCCTGCCTGCATTTGCTTCTATTATTTCCCTCTGCCTGGAATGCCTTTTCTAACTACCTTCCCTCCCCATTTACTGAGCAAACAACTAGTCCTCTTTCAAGGCTGAGATAAAGGTCAACTCTGCCAGGAAACTTTTCCTGATGCTCTCAGGAAAAGTTTTCTGATATTCCCTCTGGCATAATGAACCATTCCATCCTTCATACATCTACTGTCCCCTAGAGCTGAGAGTTATCACTTAACTCTAACACCCATTACAATGATCTGTCTGTCTAGTTCCCTCTTCCTGACTGAAAGCGTGAGAACAGGGACTGTCTCACCTTCATCCTCTAAATAAACGTTTATTAATGGAATGAATGTGTAGATGGAGCAATGCTCTTACGCTACCCTCTATCAAGGTCTTGCTATAACCACAGTGTGTGCAAGGAAAAAAATTATACATTTTAATATTCATAGGAGCCAGATAGACTCAAGAAAGTCTCATACTTGTGTTGTTCTTTTGGCAATATTTTCCAGTCCTAAATTAGGGATAGGATTATTATAGCTGTGTACACTTGTTAAAGAGATACTAATGAGATATTTACAGATTCTACCATAAGACATTATTCTAAAATCACAAGAGTTTACGGAGGAAATACTTTTGCTAACTTTCAAAAATTAAAAATATAAGACCAGGCGCGGTGGCTCAGGCCTGTAATCCTAGCACTCAGGGAGGCTGAGGTGGGAGGATAGCTCAAGGTCAGGAGTTCGAGATCAGGCTGACCAAGAGCAAGAGCCCGTCTCTACTAAAAATAGAAAGAAATTAATTGGCCAACTAAAAATATATAGAAAAATTAGCCGGGCATGGTGGCACATGCCTGTAGTCCCACCTACTTGGTAGGCTGAGGCAGTAGGATCACTTGAGCCCAGGAGTTTGACATTGCTGTGAGCTAGGCTGATGCCATGGCACTCTAGCCTGGGCAACAGAGTGAGACTCTGTCTCAAAAAAAAAAAATTTAAAATATAGTTACAAACATATTTCAAAGGTTCCTAGTACAATAAATCTGCCATAAAATCTTGAAATGATTCCAAAGGCAGATTTAAATATTTGGGTTATCCTTTGGTTTGAACTAACCATGTTCTATTTTTTTAAATTATTATAGTATATGTCTTTATGCCATAGACATATATACAACAGGATTATTGACAATATTTTCTGTTGACTTTCTATATCTAATATGATCCTTCATTATGATTAGCCTATGAGATCCCTAAAAGCAAAAATTCTTTCTTCTTCTCTTTATATCTCACTCATCAGACCCCAACATGGTACATGATAAGTATCAACTTAATTCTCTTCTACTTACTTCGGTAAGACGTGATGGTCGACAAGGATGAGGGTGAGTTGGCCAGCCTGGTGCAACGCATGGAGGTCAATCTCATCCCGAAAAATCAAGATGGTCTCTGGAATGTTAACCTTCTGAAGGAAGAAGATGTTGTCACCTCGTAGAGGTAGCTCAGAACGTTTTATATTTAAAACTGGCACAAAGACTTCCTCTGCCTCGGTCGTCTGAATAGGAAAATGAAAAGATGGTATCACAATGAATAGCAGGAAAAGGTAATAAGACTATTGGGACCAAAGGAAACATAATCTTGGGTAAGTTACTACTTTTCTCAAAGACACAATTACCCAGTCTATAAAAATAAAGAGAAGACTCTTGACCTCCCTCCTTCTTAACAATAACATGAAGGTCAACAAGAAAACTCATGGAAAAGACACAGTTCTAGATGGGATGCTGCAGAGAAGGGATTATTAATCCTCAAGAGCTGACCTGGGCAAGAGGAGGACACACTAGGTCACTGATACCTATATGGAATGCAATAATAAACTGAATATTGCTTTTATGGTGTATAAATTCTTAAAATATACTTATTTCTTACAGCAACATTGTAAAATATTACCATTTCAGACTTTATAGACAGTACCATGAGACTCAGTAAAGTTAAGGGATTTAACTTACCTAATGCTAATGCTGGTAAGTGGCAGAGCTAGGTCTTTAATCTAAACTTTTTCATTCTAAGGGACTCAGGTACTCACCTGTTTTTTTTTTTGTTGTTTTTTTTTTTTTTGAGACAGGGTCTCATTCTGTTCCCCAGGCTAGAATGCAGCAGCATCATAGCTCACTGCAACCTCAAACTCCTGGGCTCAACTGATCCTCTTGCCTCAGCCTAGTACTCACCTTTGCTAGGTAAAAAGCCAGGGCAAGAGCAGACACCATGGAGTCCAAGTCACAGGCTTCATTTCCTAGTACAACATGTAGAGGTCGGGACTCCTGGAGAGGAAGAAGAATGGGAAATTAACAAAAGTATCTCTATCCATTTCCATTTATCTTATACTCATGTAGGGCTTCATGTACTTCCTCTCATTGATCTTCAAAGACAAGGCAGGTCAGATAATCTTATGGGTCCTATTTCATAGACAAGGATATAAACAGAGAGAGCATAAATGTTTTAGCTAAGCCTTAAGCATTCCACACACATCCAGTTAGTGGAAAAGTGCCCTTTCCTCTCTATTAAACTGTCTCCCTGAACGTTAACTTACAGAAGAGGAGCAATAAATAATCCTCCACCAATTTCTTATGCTTTTTGGGGTAGTCAAAAGTAGAGCACTTGGGGTAGCTGATATATTCAAGATATGCTCTTGGGCATATCAACTGTTTTTTTTTTTCCTCCTAGTTTTTTTTTTTTTTTTGGAGAAAGACTTCCTGTGTCACCTGGGCTAGAGTGCCGTGGTGTCAGCCTAGCTCACAGCAAGCTCAAACTTCTGGGTACAAGCAGTCCTCCTGCCTCAGCCTCCCAAGTAGCTGGGACTACAGGTGCATGCCACCACGACAGGCTAATTTTTTCTAGTTATAGTAGACATGGGATCTTGCTCTTGCTCAGGCTGGTCTTGAACTCTTAAGCTCAAGCAATCCTCCCACCTCGGCCTCCCAGAGTGCTAAGATTACAGGCATGAGCCACCACGCCAGCCTATTCCCATTTTTATAATAGGGAAAAGAATACTTACGCTTCTAAATCATGACAACAGTTGAAGAGGCTTTGAAAATAAAGGTAAAAATAAAATCTAGTCCACTATCCAGTTGTCCAGGAACACTCCCCCCACTCCGAGAAGGCCCAGTAATAAACATATATAACCAACACCTTTCACAACCAAAGAAGCAGACACTTTCCCAGCAAGTTTGGATCAAAGCAAGAACAGTTGCTACTGGAACTTTTATTTTTAAAGCTTTAAAAAGTCCAGCTGCTGATAAGAACTCTGAGGAGGAAGAGATAGCTGCTATTATTAACTTGTTCCCTTGCATCTCCTTAGCTTTCAGAGTTTTAAAATAAAATATACTAAAATTACAGTACTCACAAAAGCGGAAACAGGGTTTTGTTTTGTTTTTAAGCATTTATTGAGTGTGCCAGGCAGTATTCTAATATTTTTACATGCACTAATTAATCATTTAATCCTCAAAACAACCCAATAAGGCAGGTACTTAAATTATTATTTCATTCCAAGTATGAGCATTCTGCTGGGTGGAATAAAACCATAAGGCCTATGGCTTAACTAAGGGCACAATAATTCTCTTTTACCAGTTTACTTTTGAACTTCTACCTTAGCCTTCTTCTGAAAGAGGATGGGATGAGAGAGACAAAATGAGACACACTCATTATAGGAGAGCTTCTCAATTTCCACGTTATTGGTTTATTGGACTGGATAATTCTTTGTTCTGGCGGCTGCCCTGTGCATTGTAGGGTATTTGCAAGTATCCCTGGCCTCTACCCGCTAGATGCTGGTAGCACTTTCAGTCATGACAATCCAAAATGTCCCCAGACTTGCCAAATGTTCCCTGAGGGACAAAACTGCCCCCAGTTGAAAACTCTTCGGTTATAGGAAAGTGAAAATCCATACACTCTGCCTTCTTCAATCACGGAAGATTTGCTGGATACAAGAGTTTAGCAGGCCAGGGGCGGTGGCTCACGCCTGTAATCCAGCTCTTAGAGGCCGTGAGGAGAGCGAGATATGCTCCAAAGGTCAGAGTTTGAAAAGCTGCCTTGAACAAGAGGAAGACCGTCTTTACTATAAATTGAAAGACAATTTAATGGCACAACTATAGTTATAAGAAAAAATTAGCCGCAGGTGGCGCATGCTGTAGGTCAGCTACTTGGGAGGCTGAGGCAGCAGGATCGCTTGAGCCCAGGAGTTTGAGGTTGCTGTGAGCTAGGCTGATGGCACGGCACTCACCCTAGCCTAGGCAACAAAGCGAGACTCTGTCTCAAAAAAAAAAAAAGAGTTTAGCAAAGTAGGAAGGGGGTTCAGAGGAGTAAAAATAGCAAGAAACAGTTATCAAGTAATATAACTTTTAGGAAAAAAGAATATAGGGAAACCTAGAATCAGGCCGGGTGTGGTGGCTCACGCCTGTAATCCTAGCACTCTGGGAGGCCGAGGAGGATTGCTCGAGGTCAAGAGTTCAAAAACCAGCCTGAGGAAAGAGCAAGACCCCACCTCTACTATAAATAGAAAGAATTAATGGCACATAATATATATAGAAAAAATTAGCCGGGCATGGTGAACATGCCTGTAGTCCCAGTACTCGGGAGCTGAGGCAGCAGGATTGCTTGAGCCAGATTGAGGTTGCCATGAGCTAGGCTGATGCCACGGACTCACTGGAGCCTGGGAACAAAGTGAGATCTGTCTTCAAAAAAAAAAAAAAAAAAAAAAAAGAAAAGAAAAGAAAAGAAAAGAAAAGAACAAGAAGAAAGAAAGAAGAAAAGAAAAAGAAAAAAGAGAAACCTAGAATCATCTTTCCTGTATAGGCTATCACTCCCCCTCTGACCCTACCGGAAAGCCACAGCCTGAAAGGGGCAATTTTAGAAGACTTCTGGTGGTATAAAGTGCCCTATTTAGTTACTAGATAGGCTTTTGTTTTTGTTTTTAAACCACTTTCTTTCCCATCTCCTACTTCCATCCCTAGAGAGAAGAAGGGCAGAGGTTACCTGTCAGGGTTCTGGGCTAAGGGCTGCTGGGGGAAGTCTGCCCTTAGATTCTCCCCATGCCCATTTCTTAAGCCTACTTCAAGAGTGTACAAGCCAAGGCCCATTCATACTGAACAGCACTAGAGAGTGGGGATTCTTTTTCAACATTAACTCTTTTCCAAAGCACTAAGAGAATTCTGTACTCAAGACTCCAGCCCTATAGTAACTCCCGTGAGTTGTAATTCCTCCTCCTGATACCAGAGAAGGCCCTTCTGTTTCCTGGATACCAAGAGCTGCCCAGATGGCTGTGGACCAAAATGACAGCAAAGCACTTGAGATAAGTGGCTGCAGAGATAACTTGCTCACTGAAGCAGTGAGAGGGGGTACGATGTTCTCTAGAGAGGGAGCTATATAAACATGACAGGCCACATGGCCCTGACTCTGAAGAAAAAAGGTAAGAGGAACAGAGAAAAGGCAGAGCAAGGGGGAAAGACCTACTGCTGGATACAAAGAGGTCCTCAAGAATCTTTCCAAAACTCATTTACGTAAGTGTTGCTTCATTGCAAATGGCAGCTGAATCGGGATCAGTCAGGTCCGTGACATGAAGAGAAGGCTAAGCAGAAAAGCAGAAAGTAGGGACCAAGTATAACTTCACAGCTTTGAGATGAGGAGAAATCATCTCCAGAGGAAGGTGAACAGCTAACCCCTTGTGCTCAGTCAAACCCAGACAGCAACCAAAAACAAAAGGAATACTCTGGGACTTGTAGCAAATCTTGGAATTGGGTTGACCAAGGGAGGTGGTAGCATTCCTTTCCCCCGTCAACACCCACCATTGCCCCAGCCTGACTGGACTATTCACCAGCAGCAAACCACGAAGTGCACATTCCCAGCTTTGCCCTTTGCACTATTTGTTCTTCTCTGTCTGAAAGTAGAACTGCCACTTGAAAAGATAAGACTCTGGGGTTGAATCCCAGCTCTGCTTCTTACTTGTTGTGGGACTCTGGTCTAAGCCTCATTTTCCTCATACAAAACATAAGGAGAATACCATAATCAGTCTTATGAAGTTGTTAGGAGGATTAAATGAGATAGTACTTAAGTGCCTACTCTGTAAATAGTAAAGCTGAGATCCCTTCCATCTTCTCCTTTCTTTACCTCTCCCTGCCCATTCAAGTCCTACCTAAAGCCTCCTTTCTCTGTAAAGCCTTCCCGACCACCCAGGCTAGAACAAGCCTCTTCCTCTAAACCTCCAGTTTCCAGTACTTGTGACTCTCAGATGGAACTAAATTCTACCTTGAGGAGCTTCCTTTCATGGCCATGTATCTCTAATCCGTAACATAGCTTATGAGTGAGGTGACACTTCTGAGAACCAAAAGGGGCACTATTAATGATTATGTTGGTGAAAACTAAAATTTCCCTGGGCAAACTGGATGTATGGCTGCCTAACTTATAAGATAGAATTCTCCTCTTCATTTAGGAAAAACATGTGTAACTCTGAGCCCCCACTGCATCCCCACAAGCTGAAAGCACAAGCCAAACAGCCTCAGTTTTCTGACCATCAGAGAAAGAGTTCAGGGAAAATACAGCTATACTTAGCAGCAGGAAGAAACCTGAGCTGCCAATGGAAGAAATACAATCTGAGAGCCACAAGTAAATACATATAAACTTTTTTCTTTAAAAAAAAAAAATAGATCTACTAGTTGAAATGACTCTCTTATCCAGATATTTTCTTCGTGGCCTCAATGGTTGTGGAGAGCGAGTTCTACGGCTGGCAAAATAAACCACATCCCTTCTGAAGCTGAATACAGTCTGATAACTATTAACAAAATAGTTAATGAGGGAGGAAAAAAAATGAGACAAAGAGCGAGAGACAGACAAACCCTCTCATCAGAGAAAATGGTAATGATACTGATGCCAGGTTGTAAATTCCAGCTCCTGATTCCTGTCTCATGCCTGAGAAATACATACAATATATTATCCATAGGCTCCTGGATAAACACCTAAATTGCAATGCAACCCCACTCTGAAGTGAAGATTTCTCCCTCCATGAGTCACCATGAATAGGACATTTAGTTAAATAGGATTTTTAAAAAATAGAACATCCTATTGTCTTGTGGCAGAGGCCATAGAAAATTTCTCTGGTTACAAATGCTAAAAATATGGTAGCAACAAGAGACTTGGCTGGATTATCAGCTGTCTCTATCCTGTGCAAAAGCCAAGCAGTCACAATTCCCTTAAAGTTATAATTAAACTAGAGTTTTAAAGGAACATTCAAACTTATGAGTGTATCTAAGTTGTGTCTCTCTTTACAAAATAAACATAACAAGGAGGACTCCAGGGAATGGAATGGGGAGAAGGAGAGAAGAAAAAGGATCTTTATCTTTTTCATTTATGAAGCCCTTTTTGTATTTAAAATTTTTCATTATGTGCATTTACTACTTCTATAATTAAAAGCAATCTAAACTATTCCTTATTGGAGCAGTCCGCTCTCTACCATCTCTGAGAGTGAATTATACTTTCTATACTGTCTTTAATAAATTTCTTTGCTTCACATGTGACCATGCGTTCACATAATAAAATAAAATGTAAAACAGCAATCTAAATTGTTGGCATCCAGGTATGCCCTACCACCACTTTACCTGCTAACATTTCTAGAGTTTAATTTTCTCATTTCTCCAGGCCCTGGCAAGGATGTATGATTATGAGAGCTTTAGGATACAATCTCACCTTTACAAGTTCACGAAATCATGCTTCCTGGGAGACGAATGCAGGGAGAGCAAGTATTTTTCCAGTCTCATACTGTTGGAGAGGATCTACTGTTAACCTGGGTGATGGGGGAAGGCTCTGGAGGGTATATGTTGGACAGCAGATGCATGCAAAGAAATTTTATTTGTTGAGGTTTCAGGTCCAAAGACTCTTTACCAAATAGTGGAAAAGAAACCAGTCATTTGGGTTATCAGGGGGAAAATAATCCAACTTTGCTTAGTACTTAGAATGGTGCCCCCAAAACTCTATTAATACATTGGGTCCTCCAATGAGCTCCCTGTGGTGGAATCAGAGGTAATCAAAACAAATTGGCTCCAAATGGCCTTATGCATCGAAACAACTTTCCCCAAATTTGTTTTTCACAAGGAAATATTTGATGTCATTGGTGTTAAAATTGAACTTCACCTCAATTCAATATAAGGACATTCATTTATCCCAGCAGCTGAGTCTGCAGCAGGAATTAGGTGACAGGATTTGTTAAAGACCAGACAGAAACCAACACCCTGGGGAATTTATAGAGTTTTATTTAAAAAGAAAAGCATAGTCAGCCATCAGTAGGTTTCCTCCAAGGCAGTATAATTCAAAATAGGGGGGCCAGGTGACTTCCTGGAGCCCCTCTCTGGCTAGCTTTTTGCTAACTGCAGATACAGCCTAATGCCTCACAACCAGTCAGCACGGCTGGTTAAGTCCAACTGGAAGAGAGCACCAAATATAAACCACAAACCATTCAGGAGTCATGTTTATGGTTTTGATTCCAAACACACTTTGTGTTTATCCCTTCCAAGCGAGGGGTTTTTATGGAATTTATGAGCGTTAAGGCCAAGGGAGAAACCTGGAGGGAAAGGAATGCAGGTTGTGGGTCGACAAATAATACACGGTGTATTCTGTAAATGTTTGGCTGAAAAACACTGATTTAAAGTAAAACACTACGACCATCTCTAATCTAGAAATAAGTTCGATCCGCCAGAGCCGTTCGGAGGAAATAAAGCCTAAGCACAGCTTCCCTCCACACACCCCCGAGGTTCACCTGGAGGCCAGTGGGCCAAGCGAGGCCTGGGGAGCCGGCAACTGGAAGAGGGGCGGGGAGAAAGCCATAAACACACCTCGCGGGGCACGGCTAGCGGAGGCACAGCCCTGGTCCTTTTCACAAAAGTGGGCCAGGAGACAGCAAGCAGAGGATCAAATGCAGGACCCAGACCCAAAACTCCTCCCCTCTCTCGGGCAGACCCCAAAGGTGGGGAGCTAAACGGGGAGACTGAGCAAGCTCATAAGCTTGGTCCTCGCTTCTCGCTCAAGCTCCAGGACTGACCATACCCAAGCCCCCTTCTCACAACTCGGTGTTCCCTCCACACAGACCGCCGGGGCTCCCCAGATCCCACATCTTCGCCCTTCCTGGACCCCGTGCTCCGTTCCTTACACTCATAGACAGTGATCCGTTACCTGCAGAGCAGCTCGACAACCCTGCAGGTAGTCCTCCATGGTGAAGATCCAGGTATGCGGTCGCCTGTTAACGAGGAGAGGTTTTACCAGGCGAAGGCACCCCGCCCGGGATTCAAGGGCCAGAGGCCAGAGTCAGGAGGCGGGACTCGAACCCGCCACACGGCGATTCGGCCTCAGACCCTTAGCGGAAGTGCGTAAGCGGGCGCTCCCGAGTTCGACGTCGCCCCGCCCCTAGCGGCGGAGGCGGAGCTCTGCGCCCAGAGACTCCTGGGACGTGTTTCCGGAGGTGCGAAGGTGGGCGTGGCGCAGTGCGCTGTGGGAAACGTAGTCCAGGAGCTCCGAAATGTCCTTAGCAGTTGAGGGAAGGAGAATTTTCTAAGGGATCGATCATTTTATTTTATTTATTTATTTTTATGTATTTATTTATTTTTTTTAGCGGAAAAGAATAAGAGTGAGGGGTTACTCATTTGATATACGAATGTGTGTCACCATAACTCATCTTTGTGGCATCTGAAACTTTCCTTCTCAGAGCAGGCTAAGTGTAGCATCTTTCCATATTACAGTAAGCATCTGGTTGATATCTTAAATTACACATGGCCAAAAAGATCTTCATCTTCCTTTCTCTAATTCTCCCCTTTACCAAACTGACCCATTACCACAAATTTTGTGGTTTTCTATGCTAGAAAAACAGAATAATGTTTGACCCCTCTTCTTCACTTAATACCAGCAGTCTCTTGACAACTCCTGCTGCTTCTTCCTGCTGCTCTGTAGGCTGTTTTTTCTACAGCCTCTGCAAATATCTGCTCACTCCTTTCTTGGATGGTTGTCACTTTGTCTCTTTGCTCCCTCCCTCACTAATTGTTCCAACTACTCTTTCAAGCCTTCAGAGTTGCTTGAAGTTTCATCCTGTGGCAGCCCTTTAAGTAGAGTTTGGAGGACCCTTCAGAATGTAGAATTAGGTCCCAACCTCCCTTAACTGCCATTTTCCAGCTCCAGGGTAGTGCAGAGTACTGCAAATAAATGGACCTTCATTATCGAATGTTCCCTCATTTATTGATCTATCCCTTCATTTCCTACTGTCAGTCTCACACTAGCTTTTCCTGCTCCCCAAGCTGGAAATTGAAAGGAGGTGATTGATGAGAAGCTGAAGCCTGTTGTGGAAACAAGAGCCAGAGCATAGGGGCGTTGAATCGCTTGCTGGCTCTGCTAGTTCTGTCCTGCTGTGCTCTCATCCCCAAGTCTGAGACTTCTTCCATACCTGTATACTAGCAAGCCCAACCAGTTTCATTTCTAGACTTAAAAAATGATGTAGCAAGGACCTGGAAAGGAGCCCTCTGAGGGTACCAGAGGGAAATAAGTAGGATTTTTTTTCATATTAAGTGAGTAAATATACAAATATCATGTTCTTTGGCCCTGCCTCTGTGGAGACACAGCAACAGACTGCCATACCCAGGGAGAAAGCCCAGATCCAACACGCTGCTGCTGTCCAGCCCTGCTCCTCCCCGCTCAGCAAGGGCACTTGCTCTTCCCTATTCTCACCAGAGAGGCACAAGCGCTCCGTCCCTTCCAGAGGCAGGCGGAGGGAAGAGAAAGGGTCTGTTGTTTTTCTCTCCTTGTTTCTCTCTCCCTCTCTGCTGATCACCAAGCTGCTGACCGGTCAGAAAGCCCTGATGGAAATCCACCAGTGCTGGGCAGGCCCCTCCTCCTCCAGGGAGCTTGTCCTTGACTAATTTTTCTTCATCCCGATGGGAAAAAAAGAAAGAGAGAAAGAAAAAAAAAGAAAAACCACAAACTTCCTTTGAAAGACAGCTTGTAGTCAGGGCCTGGAGTGCACGCCCTAGACTCTGCGACTCAGGGATCCTGAAGACGCTCTGAGCGGCTGGGGAGCACCTGGGCTGCGCCCCGCCTGCCCTCACCCTCCTCCGGTGACCCCAGTACTGGGCGTGAGTCCGGAAGTGGTCACGACCCAGCCAGGAGCGCCGCTGGTAAACCTGTGTAAGCCTGTATAAGCTCTGGTGTTGACAGCTGGAAGGCAGCTGGACTGGCCGCTCCCTTCGTTGTACCCACCTCCCTCATCGAATGGCCAGAGCTGAACCCTCCTTCTCAGTCCTGGAGCAGCACCCACTTCTTTAAGGTAAAAACTTTGTTTTAGCCATCTTCTTCACCTCTTCTCCCACGCCCATCTCTCCATTTCCTGTCCAGCGCTGGGGAGTTGACACCTGACTGTCCTCCCACCTTTGGTCTCCACCCGTCTGGACTGCTTAAAGGAGCAAAGACAGGAAGGATATGTACAAAGGATGCTGCTTGGTCCCTTCATTTCTTCTTTTTAATACCCTCTTCCTCTCCTTGGGAGCAAGTAGACAGGGCACCGTGGTAGTGTTTGACTTATTCTGAGGGGAAAATTGTGACGATTTGGGTCAGACTGAGGACACTGGAGTGGGACAGTCAGGACTTAAGGGGAGAGGAAGGTTCCTGCAGGGGGAGGAGTGTCTTCTTGAAGCTACATACCTATTTTATGTGCTTCTTCCAACTTTTGTCTATTTACTGCCATTGATTAGGAAGGGCTCTGGTCTATTTTAACTCACTCACCTACCATCATAGGATAATTCCAGCTGGAGAGAAAGTGTAGGACTTGAGGAACTGAGAAAAGAGGAGGAAAAGAATGAAATCCTGGTATAAGTACCCACCCCCTCATACTTTCCCACTGTGAAAGACTTCTTGTCTGCCCCACCAGAAAGGTACCTGGTAGTGTGGAAACCCTCCAGTACATTTCCTGGCCCTGCCTCTTGAGACTTAGCTCACTTGCCTCTGCCCAATTTCTCTGAGACCCCACTCCCTTGGGTGTCCAGCTCCTGGTTTCTTTTGGCTCATCCCTCTAGCCAGCTAGCTACCCGACCCCTGCTTAATCATTGATTATTTCTGATACTGGGCAGAAAAGATAAGAAATGAGCCCTGCTATTCTTCCAGCTTTTTTAACTTTCCCAGGCTCTGACATCTGCTTTGAGGTAAGTGTCATTTGGGAGGGGAGGAAGAAGGAACAGAGAGAGGGGGGAAAAAAGTGTAAGGCTTGCAGGCAATTTTTGCTACTCGGATTCTAAATTAACAGCATGCAAATTATATGCAGCTAGCATACATTATATTTGATTCAGGAGGATGATCAATTTGAGTGACTAGGCCTATTTTATTTCAGTAACTTCACTGTTCCTCAGCCTCATCTCCCAGGCCTTCCCTAGCCCCTCATTCCTGTAGGTTTACAAGAAGGAAGCACAATCTCAGGTTAGGAGGAAGCTAGAGAAAAGACACAATTTCTAACTAGTTTGATTTCTCCCTATTTCTTACCCTGACTAAAGAGGGGTGAGAAGGGGCAAGGAGATTGAAGGGAGATGTTTTCCAGGGTTGGTGGGTTTTTTAATCATTTACTATCCACTATGTTAATGAAATGTCTTTCTGTGCTTGCCTTAATGCTTAGTGCTGATAGAGAGCAGGTTAAACAGGTCCAGTGTTGACATCTAAAATGACCTAGATGGGAATAGACATGAAGTATTTATGCATAGGTAGGTGAATGTAGAGGAAATATTTTTTATGTAAATCACTAATCAGCATGTTCATATTCCATATGAATAGTGAACAAGAGGATATCTCTGGGTTTAGGCAGTTTTTGGAAAAGAGAGAAACTGAGGAGGTTGCTATCACAACTCCAGCTGTCAAGAGAAGCTTACTGGAAGAAGTTGGAATGCTTTTTGTGTCCCTAATCTGAAGATACTTATCAGAACCTGCCTCTGATTCAAGTCCCCCATGACCTACGTTTCCCCTCTCCAGCCTACAGGAAGCCCCTCCCAAGATCTTTTTGCTGTGGTTTGGGATTGTGTAAGGTTTGGCAGAGTCCTTTGAGGAGAAAGACTTCCCCTTCCTCAGCAGCAGTTCACCTTTAGGGGCATGATACTGACTTGGCACCTCCTCTACTCTTCACCCCAAGCACTATGTGACTATTCATCTTTCACACTGTGGGGGAGGCAGAGAGAAGGAATCCCTAAGGATATAAGCAGCCTGTGTGTGCTCAGGAAGCTCTGTGGAGGGGCAGGGCGTGGCGTAGGGCAGAGGAATTAAGCTATCCTGGCTGTGGTGGGGGTTGCTGATGTGATGCAACAGGGTAAGCTACCATGTTTCCTCCAAAATAAGACAGGGTCTTATATTTATTTTTCCTCAAGAAGATACCCTAGGGCTTATTTTCGGGGGATGTGTTATTTTTTTTTAAGTATGGTACAACAATCTACATTTATTCAAATATAGTTAAGTCATCTTCTTCTGGAACATCATCATAACTCTCCAAACCCTGAATTCCATCCTGAATTTCTTGCAACTCTAATTCCTTTGGAACCATTGGCCCCAGTCTCTCATGTTGAGCAATATAGTTGTCATGGGTCAGATGAGAAGGGCTGCTTGTCTTTACCGCTTTTCGACGAAATGCATGGGTTGTGCAGATACCCTGCGTAGCCACGCCCATCACTAGGTCTTATTTTTGGGGTAGGGCTTATATTGCACAAATGCTTAGAAATCCTGCTAGGGCTTATTTTATGGGTAGGTCTTATTTTGGGGGAAACACAGTAAAGATCATTGTATTAATAGCCATTAGTATAGATTTAACAGTTTTTCCTCCCTTACCCTTCTGTCTTTCTCCTTTCCAATCTCTCTTTCTCTGTCTTTTCCACATTCTCTATCATTATCTGTTTCAGGGAAGTGGATTCCACCCAAATCTTCAATCCCACCAGAGTCGTCCCTCTCAAGTGTGGAAGCCCCTTGTCCTTGTGGGTCTCATCTGGTCACAGCAAGCTAGAGGTGGAAAGAGCTCAGCCTGGGACTGTTCTGTTTACACAAGCTGAGAAAGACATGTGCTACCCATAGCTAGAAGTGACTGCACAGATAATAGCCAGCCTTCCACACTACAGTCCTTTCTCAAGACCTTTCTGGGTTCATTTGCTTTCCAGCCCAATGGTTTTCTTCTTATTGGACAAATCCCTCTTTTGTATACCAAGCCTGGCTTAGGCAAGTACCTGAGATCAGTAAACACCTTCAGTGCCCTTTAGTTGACTCCCTTCTGACCATGGAACAACATCAGCCTGAGCATCGGGTTCCTGGTAAGGCCAGGATTGCAGAAACAGTCACCCTTGAAAACCATGAGGTCCTATCGGGACCAGATGAACACCCTCAGGACAAGGACACAAGAGATACTAACGGGGCAACAGGAGAACAGGAGCCAGCAGGCCAAGCTCTGCTGTCTGCCCAGGATGGGGATAACGTTGAGTCCCCTCCACTTGAAACTAGCTCAGGTCTGCCAGCTCCAGCCCATGAGACATCACCTGAGACAGAGACTGTAGGGGTGTGTTCTACACCCCAGGAGCTTCCTCAGTCCCCCAGGACCCGACAGCCTGAGCTAGATTTCTACTGTGTAAAGTGGATTCCCTGGAAGGGAGAACGAACACCCATCATCACCCAGAGCGCTAACGGCCCTTGCCCTCTCCTTGCCATCATGAACATCCTCTTTCTTCAGTGGAAGGTAAGAGAGAGTTCAGATAAGGGCTCAGAGATATTGGGAGTACTCTTATCTGACCCACTTGCTTGGTCATTCTGATTTTCTCAAACCAGTCAAAAAATTTCAGCTTATTCTCCCTATTCCTCCTTCTTTTTATTTTCTTTTTTTAATTAATTAATTTTTTTTTTGAGACAGGGTCTCACTTTGTTGCCCAGGCTAGAGTGAGTGCCGTTGCATCAGCCTACCTCACAGCAACCTCAAACTCCTGGGCTCAAGCGATCCTGCTGCCTCAGCCTCCCAGGTAGCTGGGACTACAGGCATGTGCCACCATGCCGGGCTAATTTTTTCTATATATATTAGTTGGCCAATTAATTTCTTTCTATTTATAGTAGAGATGGGGGTCTCACTCAGGCTGGTTTTGAACTCCTGACCTTGAGCAATCCGCCCACTCGGCCTCCCAGAGTGCTAGGATTACAGGCCCTGAGCCACCATCGGCCTGCCTTTTTTTTTTTTTTTTTGAGACAGAATCCCACTCCGTTGCCTGGGCTAGAGTGCTGTGGCATCAGGCTAGCTTACAGCAACCTCAAACTCCTGGCCTCAAGTGATCCTCCTGCATCAGCCTCCCAAGTAGCTGGGACTACAGGCATGCACCACCATGTGGCTAATTTTTTCTATATGTATTTTTAGTTGCTCAATTAATTTCTTTCTATTTTTCCTAGAGATGGGGTCTCGCTCTTGCTCAGGCTGGTTTCAAACTCCTGACCTTGAGCGATCCTCCAGTCTCAGCCTCCCAGAGTGCTAGGATTACAGGTGTGAGTCACTGTGTCCGGCCCCTATTTCTCCTTCTTAAGCAAATGAGTTAAGATCCTCCTGTATCTCCCATTCCCTTGCAAATGGGAATGCCTTGTGATACTTCACATTCATTTCCTTGCTCTGGTTGCAAGCCTTTTTCTTTTCTCCCAACCCTACCAGTGGAGTCTCCCCCATCGCTGCTTTCTGTGGGTTCCTCCTTCAGTGCTCTGTGAGGGAGAGCATAATCACTCTTCTGCCTCCAGGTGAAGCTGCCTCCTCAAAAGGAAGTGATCACATCGGATGAGCTCATGGCCCATCTTGGTGAGTGACTGGATCTTGAAGGGGAATTACCCAAGGGATTCCAGAGCTATCCACTCAGCCAGAAATCCAGACCATTGAGGGCTCTCCATTTGGGCCTGTAATGTAGCAGGGAGGGCAAAGGTCTATGGGGCTTCTTTGCAGGGCAAAGGTCGAGGTGTCAGAAGTCCTGGGTTGTCACGCCAACTATGCCCTTAGCTTTTATTGTGACCTTGGGTGGGCCCTTCATCTCTATGAGTCTGTTTCTTCCTCTGAGATTTGAAGGGTGTGGATGAGACTCTAAATTCCTTTCCTGCTCTGACATTTATGGTTCTGTGACATTACCCCCATTTTCCAGGAAAAGAGGAAGCTGAGCTTTTGGGACAATTGGTGGGTAAGCTGATAAGAGATCCTGTCTTGCAGGAAACTGCCTTCTGTCCATCAAGCCTCAAGAGAAGTCAGAGGGACTTCAGCTGAATTTTCAGCAGGTGAGGAAGAGGTCTGTGGACATAGGGATTGGCAGGTTTGTTTGGAGACATCCAGCGATATTAAGTGAAGCCTTTTGGCTACTTCTTTAGAGGGTTCCTAGAACCGTGATTTCATTTTGCAGGAGGAGGAGCAGGGTATATCTTTGTCCTAGAAAGTAATGTTCATTTATATGAGATAGAGAAGGGTTGAAGCAAGGTAGGAATGGAATGGCTTGTAAGAGAATCAGGAAAGAAAAGCAACAAGATTAATTTTTTAGTTTGGGAGGTGGGAGTGCAGTGTTGGGAGAGAAGGCTAGAATACCCATCATTTTTTTTCTGTCCCCAGAATGTGGATGATGCAATGACAGTGCTGCCTAAACTGGCCACAGGTCTGGACGTCAATGTGCGATTCACAGGAGTCTCTGATTTTGAGTATACACCGGAGTGCAGCGTCTTCGACCTACTCGGCATACCTCTGTACCATGGCTGGCTTGTTGATCCACAGGTGAGAGTGGGAGCGGCCCCGATGAGACTCCTAGGCAAAATTTTGTGATGGTAAAGGTTGGCAGGTGGGGGTTAGATTGGCTGGGGGAGGGCAGTAGGGTTGAGAGAGTGGACCCAGTATAGAATTCCTTGAATTTTAACCTTTTTGGGGGGCTGACATTCAAATACAAGGAAACCACATGCAGATAGGATCAATTCTTTAGACATCAAAAGTTCAGAAAACTTTCCTCATAGGGTTGCAGTCCTTGTGGGCTTGGTTCATTTCCTTCCTTAAAATAAAAAAACAACTCATTTTGTACTACCCCACCCTACTACCCTACCCATGTAGAGTCCTGAGGCTGTGAGTGCAGTTGGGAAATTGAGTTACAACCAGCTGGTAGAGAAGATCATCACCTGCAAACACTCCAGTGACACCAACCTCGTGACAGAAGGTGATAATCCCTTCCTTCTCCTGGATATTATGGGGAGGGAATGGTGGCTTCTTAGGGTTATTGTTTATTGTCTGTTGTCTCCCACCACATTGCTCTAGAACATAAGCTCCACAAGAGGGAGTTTGGGGAATTTGTTTAGTTCACTGATGTATCTATTCCCCAGTGCCTGGCACAGGGTAGCTGCTCTATAGATATTTGTTGAATGAATGAATACAGCAGGCTGCAAGGCAGGGATTTCAAAAGGTGGAGCTGACCTCCAGGGCTTTTGACTGGGGCTCTGTGGATGAACATTCCTATCATGGACTTTGAATTTAAGCTAAGTTGCCCCATCTTGTGCCCTCTGGCAGGCCTGATCGCAGAGCAGTTCCTGGAGAACACAGCAGCCCAGCTGACTTACCACGGACTGTGTGAGCTGACAGCAGCTGCCAAGGAGGGTGAACTTAGCGTCTTTTTCCGAAACAACCACTTTAGCACTATGATTAAGCACAAGGTGATGAGGGTTTGAGGGTGGCGGGTTGGAGTGCCATCGTTTCCTCATGCCTTTCTCTCCTGGGTCAATGTGTCAGTCAGGATAAACAAGATTAAGCCTAAGCCCTGGGAGCAGATGACCCCTAAAATCCCTGTGGTTTACCACAACAAAGGTTTCTTTCTCATTTATGCTGATGTCTACTGTTGAGTGGCGACAATTCTGTCCCACACCATCTTCACTCCGGGACCCAGGCTGACAAAAGAGCCTTTATCTGGAATATATGACAGAGAAGGGAGAGAGGGACACTATGCACTCACACTTAGTGCTTCTGCTTGGAAATGATACATGTCATCTCTGCTTACATCACATTGGCCAGAGAAAAATAAGGGATAAGCCTGCCTTTAGTGGGATAGGAAAGTGTAATCCTCTCTTACAAAGGGGCAGGGGAATTTTTGAATAATGCCAGTCTTCTAAAGTTAGAAATTGCCAAAACTCTCCAGGAATTGAGTAGAAGAGGGAGGGGTTTCTGATTCTCAAAGGATTTATCCTTGTAGCCATCAGGCAAACCCAGAGAACCATGGGAAATAGAGGGGGTGGTACAGGATCCTGTGTGGCACCCCAGCCCTGAGTACTCGGTGCTTGACCAAGCAACTGCCATACTCACACCCAGCTGGACATACACTCACATATCCCTTTCCTCTTCCCAAGGCCACACATATTTATGAAAGATCTACATGCTCACACTGACGTGTTCCAGCCTGCACACCAATTGATTTATTTACCTTGTCTCCAACTGTGTATCTCAGATGATTTCTGGCAGCAAACTGCCTCTATATCACCTATCCCAGCAATTAGTTCTGTCCTTTTCTTTGCAGAGTCACTTGTACCTGCTGGTCACCGACCAGGGCTTTCTACAGGAGGAGCAAGTAGTATGGGAGAGCCTGCACAACGTGGACGGAGATAGCTGCTTTTGTGACTGTGATTTTCACCTAAGTCATTCCCTGGGCAAGGGTCCCGGAGCAGAAGGTGGGAGTGGCTCCCCAGAAAAGCAGTTGCAGGTAGACCAGGTGTGTAGGGCCTTTGGGAAAGGTACAGAGAGCACATTTGCCTCCGAGAGCTTTTTGCCATAGGAGACTGTGTGCATTTTATTATCTAGAGACCATAACATGACATCCATGACCCTTGTCTCTCTGTTACCTCCGGACTGTCTCCTTGCTTGGTGTGCCTTCTCTGGCACCACAGACAATACATTCAACTGTGTGTTTTGCTCTGGAGGGAGAAGGCACTAGAGAATTTGAAGGATGAGGAAAAACTGATTTGGAAACCTAGCCTGAATATCCATCCCCCCAGGCCTTAGCCCACCTCACAACTCTGTTCTCTCTAGGACTACCTGATTGCTCTGTCCCTGCAGCAGCAACAGCAGCCACAAGGCACGTTGGGTCTTAGCGACTTGGAGCTGGCCCAGCAACTTCAGCAAGAGGAGTATGAACAGCAGCAAGCAGTCCAGCCTGTGCAGACACGGGCTCCACCGCCACAGGTGAGCCTGCTGCGCTCATCCCTCAGCGGAGCTCCTCAGGCCTGTTCCCACCTCCCCAGGGGGCCGGCCCTTGCTTTGCCTGGTCCAGACACTGGTTACTCCTGCTCTCACCTCTTCAGGGTTTCTTCTCTTGGGGCCCTCCCCCTGCTTGTCCCTCTCCCCAGGTGCCCCTTCCTGTCTTTCTCCTCCCACTGCCCCTCCTGATCCGTGATTCCTCTCCCTTCTAGAATCTCTGTCTCATGCTCTTCCAAGGTTGTTGGATGACCAATTGTTAAATCCAATACAGGGGAGAGGAGCCACATCTGGACGCCCAGCCGGGGAGCGTCGGCTGAGGCCCAAGCACGAGTCAGACTGTGTTCTGCTGTAGCACTGCCCCAATGCCAGGCTGACCGGCCCCTTCTTTCAGAGGCTATGGCTGGCTTGCTTGCTTCCCCACCTCAACCCCTGAGATGTGCAGGGTGACTTATTTATGGACCGTTAGGGATCACAGCAGGCAATAAACGCCAAGGTCAGACTCCGTAATGTCCTTGCCCTCACGTGCTGCTGCCTTTCTTCTTCCCATCCAGGGCAACACTGAGATTAGTGGGGTGAAGATTTCTGTTCCCAATTCCCTTTCTCAGAATAGTCACATGAATATACAGCCTCAGGCTCCAGGGTGAGATCCCTGTCTGGAATGTGTCTCCCCTCCTTCCTATCTCTGACTGTCTGGGTGCCCCTGACTACCCAGCAGGCCTGTCTCCATTTGTTTCAGGGCTTGATTTGGGTTTCTATCTCCATTATTTGTAATGCCTTCCTAAGGTTTGGAAATAAAACTTCTTTCCTGAGATCTGTTGTTTGCCTTACTCTGCAGCAGTGAGGTTAAGTATTTGACCCAGTTGAAGAATGCAAAAAGGGGGAGGGGGAGAAGAAGAGGGGGAAGGAGGTTGCGCCAGCAGGGGGAGCCAAAGCCTGACAGTTGTTTTTTGTTTTGGTTTGTGTGTTTATGCTAGGTCTTGTGTTGCAAATAATACTCTAATGGGAGGTGAGTTTCCAAACCCCTGCTTGGCCAGATGAGTTTGGGGGTTGTGCTCCCTTCTAACCCAAGACTTCCCAGACTGGGGAGGGCAGCTTCACCCTCTGCTTGCTTCCCAGTCATTGACCTTTGGTACCTCTGACCATTTCTGATCTTGTTCTTGTTCTGGCACCTGTTTCTCAGTTATTTTGCCTGAAATTTCCTGGGGAATGAGGGTGAGGAGAGACACCAGGCTGGGGGAGGTGTATTGATTACTGCAGCACCAGGGCAAAAACAGGATTCCTGTTGAATAGCCCAGTGCACATCAAAGGCACTTTCAACAACAAGGCCTCTTCCCTGTCCATGTCCTGCTCCACCCAAACTTCAATCAGGGTACACAAATGACAGTGGAGTTTGCCAAAAGAATTCAGATACCAGTGAGATGTTCTCAACAGGGTACAGGACGAATGAGTGAGGCAGAAACTACCAAAGAGATCTCATCATCCCACCCCAAAGACAGAGGTAGAAGACCCACGTACAGACATCATTTTGAGATGAGGGAAATTAAGGGAGCTAAAAGAAACAGAGTTTCAGCCTCAACAAGAAGCTGAAGCATGTGGTACTCAGTGAGGGGTTATCCTATGTGGAGGCTCTGCTGGTCTCCTGCAGGCTCAGCCAAAGACCGGACTCTCAGATCCTAATGTCCTGTGGGGGTGGGAGCAGGGATGTCTCAAATGTCTTCAGCCCTGCACAGGGCCAGTAGGGCTGACTGGCAGTCCCCTTTCACTGCATCCTGCAGACAAGGGAGTCAGGTGTTAGAAAGACCCACCACTACTATGGCCCAAGCACTCTGTTCCCTCTTTCCTCTCTCGTGCTGGTCCATAGCTGGTCTGGGAGGAAGGATCCTCCCTGGTGCTTGGAATCCTGCACTAAATTAACCAGACTCATGAGTTCTACAGGGGAGAGTATGCTTAGCCGTGTGTGGGGAGTGTGGGCAGAGGTTAGGAGCATAGCACTGGGGCTCCAGGCTAAGAACTAGCCAACTTTCACCTGGAGAGAAGAGTAGAGGGACTTCCCAAATTTCTTCTTGAACTCAGTTCTGATACTTAGAAGGTCAGTCTCACATCGAGAGATGAGGATTCGCATCAGGACTTGGTAATTGGGCTCAGTTTCCTAGTAGAGGGAGAAACAGATGGAGGGTAGTTAGTGAGAGTAGGGACTGGGAGGCATGGAGGGTTATTTATTGTAGGAAGTGGAAGTCAAGGGAAAAGAGAAGTATCCATAATCTCAGGGCAAAAGTTATCCTTGTCCCTCCTCATGGAAGATGATGCAACAGGAAAGATCAGTCCTGTGGGGTCAGCTTGAGTATTTCTCTTGTTCCTTCCACATGTCTTTCCTGGTCCTGCCATTAGCTTAGAACCTTGCTCCTCCAGAACTCCATGGTGGGCAGCTCCAAAGACAGGTACACCAGGAAGGCTAGAAAAGACTTGTTGCCTGTAAAGACTGCCAGCATGGAAACCAGGAAGACTGCTTTTAACTTCCAAGTTAGTGAATGTCCAAGAGGATACACCTACCCCCCAAATGAGGTGATAGGCTCTGATAGGGATTAAGGCTGTGTGACTTCTGGTTCTGATCCTGACCTACCGGGGCATCTCACGACCCTGTGTCTGCATATCAGTTTCTCCTAGTTGGACACTTGGGCTTCAACATCACTGTCTTCCTCCCATACTTGCACCTGGCTTCCTACCTTTTGACTAAAGAAAGTAATGGAGGGTTCAGTTTATAAATAACAGAGGTACAGTAAGTCATCAAATGATGAATTATAATTGATTATACTAAATAACATTATGAGATTTCTATATAAAAACTTTTTTTTGTTTCCATCTTAATTTGTCCTAAATATAAAAACTTTTTTTTTTTTTTTTTTTTTTTGAGACAGAGTCTCGCTTTGTTGCCCAGGCTAGAGTGAGTGCCGTGGCATCAGCCTAGCTCACAGCAACCTCAAACTCCTGGCTCAAGCAATCCTCCTGCCTCAGCCTCCCGAGTAGCTGGGACTACAGGCATTCGCCACCATGCCCGGCTAATTTTTTTTGTATATATATTAGTTGGCCAATTAATTTCTTTCTATTTATAGTAGAGACAGGGTCTCGCTCTTGCTCAGGCTGGTTTCGAACTCCTGACCTCGAACAATCCGCCCGGCTTGGCCTCCCAGAGAGCTAGGATTACAGGTGTGAGCCACCGCGCCCGGCTAATATAAAAACTTTTAATTGCAGAATTCCTATTTTTTATGTACCAGTGTTGTCACCATTTCCTTTTTTTTTTTTTTTTTGTTAGTGACTGCAATCATCTGGCAACCATTTCCTAATAGCCTCTTTTTAAGAGTTTTTTTTTTTTTTTTTCTTTTGAGACAGAGTCTCACTCTGTTGCCCAGGTTAGAGTGCCATGGTGTCAGCCTAGCTCACAGCAACCTCCAACTCCTGGGCTCAAGCAATCCTTCTGCCTCAGCCTCCCGAGTAGCTGGGACTACAGGCATGCTCCACCATTCCCAGCTAATTTTGTCTATATATTTTTAGTTGGCCAAGTAATTTCTTTCTATTTTTAGTAGAGATAGAATCTCACTCTTGCCAGCTCAGGCTGGTCTCGAACTCATAACCTTGAGTGATCCGATCTGCTCACCTCGGGCACTGAAAGTACTAGGATTACAGGCGTGAGCCACCGCGGCCGGCCTGAGTTTCTTGAGTCACTTACAAGACCCTTCCCAGAACTGCCTACAACACATACTTAGGGCTTCCCCACAAATCATAAACTCCCATGAAGAAAACAAAAAATGATAATGTAAAACCAGGATGCTCTGTTTCATTTAGACTCATGTAACTGCCAGTGGACCAATGTCTCCTTCATTTTAACTTTCATGTATCGTTAGTTTTGTATTGTCAAAAAGATTGCTGATTGCTCCCAGATTCTTCTCTTCTTCCAACTCTTGCTACTCCAAAGTTGTAGAATTGGGGCAAAAGTCATTCACTAACTGAACATTCTCATTGGCATACAAGTACCCTTTACACCAAAGCTATATTAAGTATACGTACTCTTTTTTTTTTTTTTTAGACAGAGTATCGCTTTGTTGCCCAGGCTACAGTGAGTGCCCTGGCGTCAGCCTAGCTCACAGCAACCTCAAACTCTGGCTCAAGGATCCTGCTGCCCCAGCCTCCCATGTACTGGGACTACAGGCATGTGCCACCATGCCGCCTAATTTTTCTATATATATTTTTAGTTGGCCAATTAATTTCTTTCTATTTATAGTAGAGACGGGGTCTTGCTCTTGCTCAGGCTAGTTTCGAACTCCTGACCTTGAGCAATCCGCCCACCTTGGCCTCCCAGAGTGCTAGGATTACAGGCATTAGCCACCACGCCCCGGCCTAATTCTAGTCTTAATAATGATATACTTGGCATCTCAGACTGCCCCAGGATATTATCATGAACATCATTTATAAGTACAGATTGGTCCAAATTTGTCCTGAATCAGCCTTTGCTGATTTTCTAAAGGTCATTTTTCTGAATAAATATTCTTCACAATCTATGTTTTCACATATCTCTCATAAAAGAACACTACAAAAGTATCATGATTTTCTTCTTTTTTAATAACAATTCAGAAAAATGGGCCCATATTATTTCCTGACTAATTCTAAGACAAATCTAGCATGTACACACAAGAGTGTGAGTACTGTAATCCAAAGACACTACAAAATCACTTACTGTTTATATGCAAGTTTGTTTTTCTGACAGGAATTTATTTAAATTTTTTTTTTAGAAACAGGGTCTTGCAGCCTGGCACGGTGGCTCACACCTGTAATCCTAACACTCTGGGAGGCTTAGGCGGGTGGATTGCTCGAGATCAGGAGTTCGAAACTAGCCTCAGCAAGAGCAAGACCCATGGAAAAACAAGTACCACATATACTCACCAGCAAACTGGGATTAACTGAGCAGCACCTAAGTGGACACATAGGTACTACAGTAATAGGGTATTGGGCATGTGGGAGGGGGGAGGGGGGCAGGTATATACATACATAATGAGTGAGATGTGCACCATCTGGGGGATGGTCATGCTGGAGACTCAGACTTGCGGGGGGAGGGGGGAATGGGCATTTATTGAAACCTTAAAATCTGTACCCCCATAATATGCCGAAATAAATAAATAAATAAATAAATACATAAATAAATAAAACTGGAGCATAAAAAAAAAGAGCAAGACCCCATCTCTACTATAAATAGAAAGAAATTAATTGACCAACTAATATATATAGAAAAAATTAGCCGGGCATGGTGGTACATGCCTGTAGTCCCAGCTACTTGGGAGGCTGAGGCAGTAGGATCGCTTGAGCCCAGGAGTTTGAGGTTGCTGTGAGCTAGGCTGACGCCAGGGCACTCACTCTAGCCTGGGCAACAAAGCGATACTCTGTCTCAAAAAAAAAAAAAGAAAGAAAAAAAGAAACAGGGTCTTGCTGTATGTTGCCCAGGCTGCTGTTGAACTCCTGGGCTCAAGCAATACTCCCACCTCATCCTCAATAGCTGGAATTACAGGCATGTGCCACCACACCTGGTTTATGGCAGGAATTTAAGCAGATAACCACAACTCTTCAAATGAGTCTTAGTGTTGACTCATAATAATACAGGCTTTATTGGTTAAGTATAATAATCTACTGTGGAGATAGAAATCTCTGGATGATAGAATAAGTGCTTATGTATACTGTCTTTCTAATAGTCATTAACATGGCACGATGGCTTCTCAGCCAGTCTATGGAAAGCTATTCTACTGCCAAAATAATAACTACTTTTCCCTTCTTTCAATTTTACATTTTCTCTAATTTAGTGAGTTTTTTATTTATAGGTTGTGGGGAGTAGTTCTACTAATAAAGATTCTGTTGGTAGAATATCAAATCAACGTTAATATGAAAGAAAATCTGACCAGTGTGGAGAAAGGGGCCCTAGGTGCTAAGAGCACTTATAGCGTAACTGATAGGGATAGTAAATGTTCTATGTCTTTTTTTTTTTGAGACAGGGGTCTCACTGGTTTCAAACTCCTGGCCTCAAGCCATCTCGCTTTAGCCTCCAGAGTAGCTGGGATTACAGGCACACACCACCGTGTGTCCTATGTCCTATGTCCTATATCAAGTGTTTTGGGTGGAGCGCGGTGGCTCACGCCTGTAATCCTAGCTCTCTGGGAGGCCGAGGCAGGCGGATTGCTCGAGGTCAGGAGTTCAAAACCAGCCTGAGCAAGCTCGAGACCCTGTCTCTAGTATAAATAGAAAGAAATTAATTGGCTAACTAATATATATAGAAAAAAATTAGCCGGGCATGGTGGCATATGCCTGTAGTCCCAGGTACTCGGGAGGCTGAGGCAGGAGGATTGCTTGAGCCCAGGAGTTTGAGGTTGCTGTGAGCTAGGCTGACGCCATGGCACTCACTCTAGCCTGGGCAATAAAGAGAGACTCTGTCTCAAAAAAAAAAAAAAAAAAAGTGTTTTGTAGAGAGGCTGTATGGCTTACTAGCTGTGTGACCTTGGCAAGGTACTTAACTTCTTTGTGCTTCAATTTCTTTACCTATAAAATAAGGATGGAGTATGGCTGTGAGAACTAATCGAAATGGGTGTAACATGCTGAGGAGAGGCCCTGGCACACTGTCAGCACCTAAGACATGCTGGTCCTTGTCATTATTCTTGCTAGTGCCATCACCATCACTCTGGCCACAAAGGAAACAGGACAAGGCACTGTCTTACAGAGCTAATTCATGCCTACATTTGGCCACCTAGACATCGACAAGGCCAAAATTTTAGTTTCAGTGACCTCGGGGGTCAACTAACTTAGTTCTAATCACAGCTCACTCCTCCACACTTGGCAGTTCATAAGGCCAGAGAAAGAGACTACTATAGGTTTATAAAGTGTATGTGAGATTGTTACATTAGCAGCAGTCTGAAACTTCCTCTCTCCTGCCCAGGAGGTATCTCCCCCCAGTTTTTTTCCAAAGGGAGAGAAAAGGAGTGCCCCTCTCACCTGGAGGGCTTGGTGAAGTTTGTCAGCAAAGTACAGCGGTGTGTTCCTGATCACCGAAGCTGGAAGCAAAGAGGGAAGGATGGAGGCTCACAACTAGGGCCACAACTCCCCACCCCACAGCGACTCCCGCTACACATATCCTGAGCAGGTCCCTTACCTAGGCTGAGCAGGGCCACCTGGATATCTCCGTGGAAACGGTTCCGGACAGCCTCTTCCAACTCTTGCCCAGTGTACCGCTGGTACTGATCAAACACTTGTGTGTGGGGGGACATAGTTAGGAAGATAAATTGAGGGGGATTGATTCATCATTACTCCTCATCATAATCAAAACTCATCATTAGAACAAGCTGCAGGGACAAGAAGGCCAAGAAGTCTTGTGCATACCTCGGATGAGGTGTTCAGGATTTCGCTGGGTGAAGATTAGGACCCATGTCCCCTCTGTGCTGGGTCCTTCAGCCTGTTGTAGTGCCTGGTAGAGGGGACAGAGTAGGGTCACTGGTGGGGGCCTAGGGATCCAGGGCTATGATGTTCCCAGAATCATAATGGTGTAGATGGGTTAGGGGTGAAAAAGGCTATTTTAAGCCACAAACTAGTTTATTTTATTTTATTTTATTTTGTTTTGTTTTGTTTTGTAACAGGATCTCACACTGTTGCCCTGGCTAGAGTGCTGTGGCATCATCATAGCTCACTGCAGCCTCAAAGTCCTGGGCTCAAGTGATCCTCCTGCTTCAGCCTCCTGAGCAGCTGGGACTATAGGCACATGACAACACACCCAGATAATTTTTCTATTTTTTATACAAACAGGGTCTCACTATGTTGCTCAGGCTGGTCTCAAACTGCTGGGGTCAAGTGATCCTCCTGCCTTGGCATCCCAAAGTGCTAGGATTACAGGCATGAGCCACTGTACCCAGCCTATTTATAATGTTAAAAAAAAGAAGGAAACAGGGCTAAGAGAGGTATTCTAGCCTCACAGCTCTATTCACTGATTTGGAAAAATCCTGGTGCCCAAGAAATTAAATTATCCCTAAAAAAGGGTCTGGGGAGGCTTTCTCCACCCAAACGCCCATGAGCAGAGAATCTGTCAGTTGATGAGCTCACTTCCTGTGAGTTCAGGAGTCAGGGGTGGGATGAGTGAAAAGGCTTCAGCTGTGACACTACCTGATACCTCATACCCCCAACACATCATCGAGGACTCCCTCCCCAAGGCAGGGACAGGTTTGCAGGACAAATGGGTGTATAGTCATTGGCTATACGGTGTGTTGGAGGAAGGTGTCTTATGTGCATGGCTGTGCAAACTCCTAAGCCCCCATGCTCACCTGGACATCCTGTTCTGCCAGATTATAGTCAATGATTCCAGAGTAGCTCTCACGGCCCCCCTAGGAGGAGAAACTGTTCTCAGGAGTACCCTTCGAAGGGCAGCTTTTTATCTCCAGACCAATAAGCCAAACCCTGGTGCTCCCTGATACTCTCTGTTGTCCATTATAGGACAGCAATGCTCCCCACTCTTGCTCATCTCCTTATCTGGTAAGTGCCACTCCCCTCCCTGGCAGACCAGTCCTCCTCACCTTGGCTAGGGCGAGCAGCAGGTCCTGCAAGATGCCACTGGTCTCAGACCTGATGTCCTCTTCAGCCTCCACCTGGAAATCTGGAGCAAGGTCAGGAGCTCTCTGAATCCTCCTGATTTTTCCCAGGGTAGAACCAGGACCTATCAAAGGTCTGCCCCACTGTGCCCTGCAAACCCTGCCATCTCCTGTTTGGAGTAGCTTGATGGCTGCTAGTTCCCGGCATGTAAGGCACAAGTACCATCATGGCCACTCTAAAACATCTCTAAGCTGTGAGGTATGGGGTGGCTTCATCTGCAAGCACCAACCTGCCGAGCAGGAGGATGTGTTGTCAGAGTGGTGGCCAGGCAGTGAAGAGGGCACAGGGAAACCCACAGTGTGAGGCAAGATGGCCGGGGCCTGCTGCCCTCATTGCAGGTGAGGAAAAATGACTTGAGAGGCAGGATATGAAGAAAGGAAAGAGCAGGGAAGGGAGAAGAAGAATTGAAATGAGAAAAACAGATGCAAGAAAGGAGAAAGGCAGGAGAGGGATTAAGAACATAGGTCAAGGCTGGGCGCGGTGGCTCACGCCTGTAATCCTAGCTCTTTGAGAGGCTGAGGCGGGCGGATTGCTCGAGGCCGCCACTACAGTACCTTCTTACACAAAGCGGGATATTGAGAGTATAGTACTTTTTTTTTTTTTAGACAGAGTATCGCTTTGTTGCCCGGCTACAGTGAGTGCCGTGGCGTCAGCCTAGCTCCCAGCAACTCAAACTCTGGGCTCAAGCGATCCTGCTCGGCCAGCCTCCACATGTAAGCTGGACTACAGGCATGTGCCACCATGCCCGGCTAATTTTTCTATATATATTTTATAGTGGCCAATTAATTTCTTTCGTATTTATAGTAGGAGCGGGTCTTGCTCTTGCTCAGGCTAGTTTCAGAACTCCTGACCTTGGAGCAATCGCCCCCTTGGCCTCCAGAGTGCTAGGATTACAGGCATTAGCCACCACGCCCCGGCCTAATTCTAGTCTTAATAATGATATACTTGGCATCTCAGACTGCCCCAGGATATTCATCATGAACATTCATTTTATAGTACAGATTGGTCCAAATTTGTCCTGAATCAGCCTTTGCTGATTTTTTAAAAGTCATCGTTTGCTGAATAAATAATTCTTCCACAATCTATGTTTCAATATCTCTGCATAAAGAAAACATACAAAGTATCACGTTTTCTGCTCTTTTTAATAACAATCAGAAAATGGGCCCATTTATTTCCTGAACTAATTCTAGACAAATAGCATCTGTACACACCAAGGTGTAGTATGTATCCAAGACACCTACAAAAGTCCACCTTACTGTTTATATGCAGTTGTGTTTTTCTGCAGGAATTATTTAAAATTTGTTTTTAGAAAAGGGGGTACTTGCAGCCGGCACGGCGCTTCACACCTGTAATCCTATACACTCTGGGAGGCTTAGCGGGGTGGCATGCTCGCGATCAGGAGTTCGAAACTAGCCTCAGCGCAAGAGCAAGACCATGGGAAAAACAAGTACCACATATACTCATCAGCAAACTGGGATTAACTGAGCAGCACCCTAAGTGGACCATAGGTACTGACATAATAGGGTATTGGGCAGGTGGGAGGGGGAGGGGGCAAGTGATTACATACATAATGATTGAGTGTGACCATCTGGGGGTGTCATGCTGGAGCTCAGGACTGTGCGGGGGGGGGGGAAATGGATTTATTGAAACCTTAAATCTGTACCCCATAATATAGCCAATAAAAAATACTAAATAAAAAATAATAAAAACTGGCATAAAAAAAAGAGCAAGACCCCATCTCCTACTTATAAAAAGAAATTAATTGACCACTACATATATGATAAAAAATTCGCGGCATGGTGGTACCATGCTTAGGCCCAGTCTTGGGAGGCTGAGGCAGTAGGATCGCTTGAGCCAGGAGTTGAGTGTTGTGTGAGCTAGGCTGACGCCAGAGGCACTCACTCTAGCCTGGGGCAACAAACGAGTACTCGTCTCAAAAAAAAAAAAAAAGAAGAAAAAAAGAAAGCAGGTCTTGCTGTATGTTGCCCAGGCTGCTGTTGATCCTGGGCTCAAGCAATACTCCCACCTCATCCTCAATAGCTGATTACAGGCATGTGCCACACACCTGGTTATGCAGAATTTAAGCAGATAACCACAACTCTTCAAATGAGTCTTAGTGTTGACTCATAAAATACAGGCTTTATTTGGTTAAGTATAATAATCTACTGTGGAGATAGAAATCCTGGATGATAGAAAGTGCTTATGTATACTGTCTTTCTAATAGTCATTAACATGGCACGTATGGCTTCTCAGCAGTCTATGGAAAGCTATTCTACTGCCAAAATATAAACACTTTATCCTTCTTTCAATTTACATTCTCTAATTTAGTGAGTTTTTCGTATTTATAGGTTGTGGGGAGTAGTTCTACTAATAAGATTCTGTTGGTAGAATATCAAATCAACATATAGAAGAAAATCTGACCAGTGTGGAGAAAGGGGCCCTAGGTGCTAAGAGCATCTATAGCGTAACTGTTAGGATAGATGTTCTATGTCTTTTTTTTGAGACAGGGTCTCACTGGTTTCAAACTCCTGGGCCTCAAGCCATCTCGCTTTAGCCTCCAGAGTAGCTGGGATTACAGGCACACACCACCGTGTGTCCATGCCCTATGTTCCTATATCAAGTGTTTTGGGTGGGAGCGCGGTGGGCTCACGCCTGTAATCCTAGCTCTCTGGGAGGCCGACGCAGGCGGAGTTTGCTCGAGGTCAGGAGTTCAAAACAGCTGACCAAGCTCGGAGACCCGTGTCTATAGATAAATAGAAAGAATAATTGGCTAACTAATATATATAGAAAAAATTAGCGGGCATGGTGGCGATATGCCTGTAGTCCAGGTACTCGGGAGGGCTGAGGCAGGAGGATTGCTTTGAGCCCAGAGTTTGGGAGGTTGCTGTGAGCTGCTGACGCCATGGCACTCACTCTAGCCTGGGCAATAAGGAGACTCTGTCTCAAAAAAAAAAAAAAGTGTTTTGTAGGAGAGTGTATGGTTACTAGCTGTGTGACCTGGCAAGGTACTGAACTTCTTTGTGTAAATTTCTTCACCTATAAAATAAGGATGGAGTATGGCTGTGAAACTAATCGAAATGGGTATAACATGCTGAGGAGAGGCCCTTGCACACTGTCAGCAGCCTAAGACATGATCTGGTCCTGTATTTATTCTTGTAGTGCCATCACCACATACAAGACCCTTCCCAGAACTGCCTACAACACATACTTAGGGCTTCCCCACAAATCATAAACTCCCATGAAGAAACAAAAGAAAATGATAATGTAAAACCAGGATGCTCTGTTTCATTTAGACTCATGTAACTGCCAGTGGACCAATGTCTCCTTCATTTTAACTTTCATGTATCGTTAGTTTTGTATTGTCAAAAAGATTGCTGATTGCTCCCAGATTCTTCTCTTCTTCCAACTCTTGCTACTCCAAAGTTGTAGAATTGGGGCAAAAGTCATTCACTAACTGAACATTCTCATTGGCATACAAGTACCCTTTACACCAAAGCTATATTAAGTATAATTCTAGTCTTTTTTTTTTTTTTGGTAATTAGAATAAGAAGAAAAGAAAAAATGAAATATTAAATTAAAAACAAAAAAATATGTATTCTGAAATTTATGCAATGGCAAACTATTTTTGAAAAGGCCAATATGGAGATTTGGGGTTTGAAGCAGTATATGTGAGTCAACAGCCCAAAGGCACTATATATTACTGTTTTTCCTCATGTATTCCACTAAAGAGGAACCCCAAATCAGCCATGTCCCTCTTTAATGATAAAGAAAATACTTGAGGGGGATCCTGGATTAAAAATGTT